TGTAGGTTGTTGTTTCTGTTGATTCCTTCAGCAGGAGGGGGAACAGGCTGTAACGAGACTTAAATGAGCTTTAAAAAAACACCACAAGTGTTAAAAACAAGCACTTTAAAGCTGGTTCTCTTTGTGCTCCTCTAACGTTTCATCTCCAGGTCAACATCTGAAAGCGTCTAACACTTTGTTTTATGACCACCTGCAGAACTTAAGACATTTCCATCAGCCTCAGCTGTTAGCATGCTAACACTGCTAGCGTTATACCGTCTAAACATTAGCCTGAAAGCCACACGCTTATTAGCATTAAGCTAACGTCGGCCCCACCAGGCTGGTGTCACATGTCCGTGTCTTGTTACATTTCTTTTTTTGTTTGTTTACAAATTGTATTTATGTTATTTGTTTGTTTTGACAGGGACAGTGTACAGCCTATTAGCTGTACCAGAGTTAGCTATAAGCTAATTTACATCTGTAGTCCCTGAGACAACGTCAGAAACAACGTTTAATCTTTGCACTCATCAGGTCTCTTAATACAGAGCTGCGCTAGCTGTTACCTTGTACTTTCAGTCTTAATGCTAAGCTAGGCTAACACAGGCCTGACTTCACGTTGTTGTTGTCAGTAACAGAACCAAACATCATTCCTTAAATGTTGTTACAAAATGTACAAATGTTGATGATGAAGTTTGGGACGCTTACTGTGCTAACTGTTAGCATGCTAACTGTTAGCATGCTAACTGTTAGTCTTTCTTAAGTTAACAGGAAAAACTTGACTGAGATAAAGGATCTCTTTAACATGAGTGTCCTGAGTGAAGACCGGCAGCAGCTCGTTTTAACACAGATCATCATGTGATCGCTCTCAGAGTCAAAGCATCAACGACCTGATGCAGCGTCCTGCAACACCTTTAAACTACTTTAAAAAGATTTCACCTAGTCCATACGTAGGCTGACGTATTTTTAAAAACTGAGCTTTTCCTCCATTGTTTTACAATATAATACCGTCCACTAGGTCAGGAGGAATTCGAGGGCGATTTGAATGTGTCTTATAAAACGATGAGTCACGAGAGACTTGAGAATAGAAATAAGACAAAAGCTCCTTTTGGACCGGGGGAACTTTCCTACAGAACTCATTCAGACTGCAGGAACCAGAGTCTTAGTTTAGTTCTGGGGTAAAAGATCTACCTCTAGGGGGGGGTAGTACTTCCTAAAGGTCCTGGACTTTGGCAGCCAGGGCATGCAGCCCCTGCAAAGTGCTGGATGTCTCTGATTGGTCAGACAGAGCAGGGTGTTAGATCCCTCTCTGTGTTTTTCCTCCTTTCTATCGTTAATCAATGAAACCATTTGAAAAGCAGTACGGACTGATTTGAATAATGTTCTCGGGACTTCAGGCAGCGGTGGAAATGACTCTGAGGACCAGGAACCTTTTAGATCCTTGAAGAGAAGTCCCTGAACCTTTTAGTTCTAGGGACCTTTGGTGGAAAAGGGTTTTAGACTCTTATTAAGATCGGAGTGATAAAAAACAGTGACTGAACTCATCGTCTTTAAATATGAATGATATTTATAAATAACTCAGGTCAGAGGTCATTTCTCTCTTTTCAGTCGACACACGTCCTGAGTGTCGATAACTTCATGAGGTTATCCTGTTTTTTTTGTTTTTTTACTATTTCACACGTTACAGAAGGAAAGACGCTCGTTCTGCTGCATCACTTGTAGAGACTATATTCTAAATCTGTATTTAAACACTTTAACTCAGATTCTCATTGGATCAAAACGTTTTATTATATTTCATTTTTAGTGGTCAATGTCATTTTAATCAGAGGCGTACAGGTTGAAGAGTCTCCTAGACCCAGAGATCAGTGTGTGGAGTCCCCGCTCATTTTTCTTAAACTCCATGTTTCCTGTATTTTCTCGTTTATTTAAAAAAAAAGGGATTTTTGTGAAGCTGCTTTTATCAAGTTTTAAAGGTCACATATCCTCCTCCTCTTCTTCAGTTTAAATAAGTCTCTGAGCTCCTCAAAACATGTGTGTGAAGTTTCTTGTTCTAAATCCACTCTGATCCTGTATTTGATCATGTCTATAAACCCCTCTATTTCAGCCCTGCTCAGAACAGGCTGTTTCTGTGTCTGTACCTTTAAATATGTAAATGAGCTGTGTCTGACCACGCCCCCTCTCTGGAAGGGCTTGGGTGTACTCGGTCTTTCTCGCTCCATGTCCTATTGTTTACGGTCAGAAGGCAGACTCAGAGGGCAGAACAAACACCTAGCTATGGGAGTGTCACCCACCTGGGGGAGGGGCTACTGCCCTTTGTGATGTCATGAAGGGAACATCTTCAAACGGCCTGTTTGAGCACACATTTTCTGTGAAAAGTGGAGCAGGCAGAAGACGGAGAGGATGGACTTTTCTCATGATTGGGGGGTTTGTAGACGGACTAGAGACACATGTTAGAGTTAGAGGAACATGGAGAAGAGGATTTTAAATATGTGACCTTTAAAGTTTAAAGACGGGTGTGTGTTACAGTCGGACTGGGTAGTTTGCTGTGATTATATAAAGTGTTTGATGTTGAAGAATTTTTACAGACTGTAGAGAGAGAATGAAGATGGATTTATAAATCTGCTAAAAACATTTCCTGTATCATTTCAAAACATTTGTGAGTGTGGAGCAGAAAGAAGTGTAAACTCTGCTTCAGGGTGGATTTATTATTCCTCATTTCATTTCTGTGACTAATGTGATGCTACTGCTTAATAAAGCCACTAAACACACGATGTGTCTGCTGTTTATTGTTCACTGTGACGACCCCTCCACACCACTAGGGGTCCCCGTGATGCTGGTTCTGTTTTTACAGATAATGGATTGTCTTTGTTCCTTTTTCAGAGAACATGAGTTATTCATTTCTGTCAGGACCTAAAGACAATTTACACCAACATCTTAAAATGTGGATCTGGAGGAAATGACCAACCCTGACTTGGAAGTTTGAGAGTTCTGCATGTCACCCCTCACTCTCTCTCTGATGAAGGCAAAAGAAAAGAGTTCAAAGTTTTGAAAATCCTCATGTTCTGTTTTTATTTACATTTCACACAACGTCCCGACTCTTTATGTAACGAGGTTGTTAAAAGATAAAAAGTATAATCGTCCGCGTAAATATGAAATCTGATCATGAAACATCTGCAGGCTGACACACAAAACATTTATACAGACGTTTAAGTGTCACACAAACTAACTTTCTCTCCCAGGAAGATAATGTTCTTTCTGGTATTTCAAATGTCCCACACTCTGCTCACACCTCAAACGCCCCTCAGTCCTGCCCCTTCTTTTTCTTCTTTTTCTCCTTCAGCTCCCCGTCTGTCACTTCTTCTGTGGTTTTTCTCTTCTGCCTCTCCTCCACACACTCCATAGTGTCCCACACCTCGTCCTCCTCCCCCTCCCCTTCCTCCTTCACCTCCTGTGACCCCGCCTCCCCTCTGGCCCCGCCCACCTCCTCCAGGTCTTTGCTGGAGAGCAGGACGCAGTTGAGGCGGGACTTGAGGTAGACTTTGTGCTGCAGCTTGCGGTCCTCCAGGCTGTGGATGCGGAGGAAGCGGTCCAGGCCGCAGGACGCCACCACGGGCTGGGAGGGGTGACACTGCAGCGCCCGCACGCCGCCCGCCAGCCCCTTCAGACAGCCGCGGACCAACCCTTTCCTCAGGTCCAGCAGGGCGATGTGACCGTGGGTGTTTCCCACCACCACAGTATTCCCGTCAGCGGGCAGGGACAGAGCGGTGAGCGGGTACTCGCCGTACTCGGCCTCCAGGACAGGACGCCGCTGAGGAGAGGCGGGGTCGTACACGTGGACCTGGGGGAGGAGCCGACAGAAAACAACGTTAAAAATGTTACCAGGAAGACTATCTAATGAAGACGGGGAGGAGCCAGGTCGGATGTTTTTAACTTAAAGATGTAAACAAACTAATCTTCAGTTTGACTCTTACAGGCTGATGTGGCGTTCAAAGACCCGTCACTCGGTCAGATTTGTAAGCACTAAACATTTCTTCTGTTTTCTCCTCACTTCTTTTTCAGCGTTCTTCAGAAACATGCTGACACAACGATGTGATTCACAACCGACATGTGGTCGTGCAGGGAGGATCTTTAGATTAGAGGGTTCTTGTTCTTGTCTCGTTTAAAGAGGCGTCAGGAATGTGTCAAATATATTACCAAAGCAACAACAAATAATACAACAGTAATAATGAAAAGTAATAATTAGCAATTCAATATTTTAACAATGAAAAAAATAAAAATAAAAAACAATAAAAATAAAATAAGATAAAAAATAATAAACAAATAATAAATATAAAATAAAATAATAATAATAATAATAAATGAAATATACATAAAATAATAAATAATCTCTCTCTCACCTGGTGGTAGCCCGTGCAGGTGACCACTTTGTCCGAGTCGGGGATGAACGCCATGTCTCTGACCCAGTGCGGTCGCTTCAGATCCAGCCAGTCGTCTCTCAGGTTCTTTGCGGTGAACACGGGCTTCTCTGGTTTCTGCAGGTCCCAGATCTTCAGGTTGTTGTCCTTCCCACCCGTGGCGACCTTATGGCGGTGTGCCGGGCTCTGCCGCATCCTGCACACGTTCTTCCCCACATCCAGCTCCGTCACGGGCTCGCTGCTGTCCTCCCTCCAAACCTTAAGGGCGAGACGTGAACACATTTCAGAACAAGCTCCAATCAGGCGTCAGACGAGTCCACAGGACTTTCACACTCTGGATATCTGTCATAGAATTACATTCTGGAAGTCTGAAATGACCTGAAACTAAAATAGGAGTCCTGAGAAGCCCACCCTGCAGACACCTGGTTCAGACTGAACAAAAACCTCATCTCTGCCCTTTAAAGCATTTCAGAAGGTGTGCAGGTCTGATGGATTCATTCCTCTCCTAACCATCTGTCTGATGACATAGTTCAAGTTTCTTCTTGAGTCCGACCGATTAATCCACCAGCTGAGAATATCGGCTGATCAGCGTATCCAGTGACGATCTGTATCAGCTAATTTATCACAGATATAACTCCATTTATTCACCAGTCAAATATCATTTAATTAGGCGCTGGTGGTGCAGTGGTTGGTGTGCACGCCCATGTATGGAGGCGACAGTCTTCCAAGCGGGTGGCCCAGGTTCGAGTCCGGCCTGTGGCTCCTTTCCCGCATGTCAATCCCTACTCTCTCTCTCTCTCTCTCTCTCTCTCTGATTTCTGACTCTATCCACTTTCCTGTCTCTACAATAAAGGAACAAAAAGTCCAAAAAAAAATCTTAAAAAAAAAATTATATACATATCTATATATATATAATTTAATTAGAGTTTCTTTGTATTAGGGCGCTGTATGGAGCATATGAGCAGTTACTCTCCAGTCGAGCGATCATCTTCATTAAATATTTTCCCCGAGTGTTTGATAAGTGAGGGATCAACACAATAAATGTGTTTAATATCTCAAACACTGAAGAGTGATCTAAGAAAGATATCGTCTGATCTATCTGTCTGTTTCCTCTTCCTAAAACCAGGATCAGTATCTGCTATATAAATCACTAAACTAACAGAGACAGTTCAGATCTGTAAAGGTGTTTCTGTGATGGAGGTTTGGTGTCTTTGGGGAGATAAATCCTCACACACAAACACATCACAATATAAAACTGATGCTGCCTTCAAGTGCTCCTCAGGAAACATCGTATTAACCGGCTTTACGAGCTCGTGAACGACCTCCAGAGTCTGAAAGTCACTTCCATGATACTCGAGGTGTGACGTTTCAGGGAGAACGCTTCAAGAGAGTCTCAACAAGACGGCGAAAAATATAAATATACATTTATTAAAAGTAGTAAAGTCGTTTATTTGAAGTAGTTATAAATCTTAGTTTGTGCATCTATCAGCTGAAGCAAGCAGGTAAACCATGAGTCTAAATCACACCAGGTGAGAATGTACTTGAAGGCAGCATACGATACGTATTAGTAAAACGATATTGAGACCTCTTTCTGTTCCCATGGTAACAAACAAACTGAAGTCATAGGAACTCAATAAAAGTTGATTTCTGGATTTTAATTATCCACGACTTCTCTCTCTCCCTCTCTCTCTCTCTCTGTCTCTCCCTCTCTCTGTCTCTCTCTCTGTCTCTCCCTCTCTCTGTCTCTCTCTCTCTCTCTCTCTCTCTGTCTCTCTCTCTGTCTCTCCCC